CCCGTTTCCCTTTCCCCTCCCCACTTTTTTTATTTAAAGTGCATGACTTCTCAAGTAACTAGCCTACAAAACTCTACAAACAGCTTAAAATATCAGGAAGAAATTCCAGGGAAAAGCATTTTTACAATCAAAGATAACATTCTGCAATTATTTTTTTTAAAGACCATATAAAAGAAGTCAATAGTGTACAGGTTCTCACATTTGTATGAAACAAAAAGAATTTCTGTTGTATTCAAAAGTAGTTTCTCAGCATATGCAAACTGTGTAGCTTCCCTTACTCGGAATACATTAACTTAGCGTATAAAAATACAGTATGGACAAGTTCTTCTCATCCCTGACATAAGAATTCACAATTTTGACACAAAAATTGTAAACTTTTATTACATTCAAAATACATTTCTTAAGTCTTTAGAATTTAAGTTCTGAGGTGTTGGCAGTCAGAGCTCTTGGCATACAACAGAAGTACATTATTGCAGAGCCTTTACACAGAAGTAGCTTTCTGAAGTCAAGAGAAACTTACTCTTCCCACACGTTTTTGTTGCTACCAGGAGGAAAAGAAAGGCTTCCTGCTGTGAAAGGTCTGTGTGAACGCATTACTCAGCTGAACAATTCGGCCCTGACTTCCAGTGGTACTTCGCTCCACAATCACACGTGGCATCTGAACAAGCTGAATGGGACTCTTTTCATCCTTCAATGCCTGAGTAAGGTTTAATATCTGTAAGAGCAAAAGCATACAAACAGAACTGTGGTTAATGAACTTAAAAATTTTAGATGCCACTCCTAAATCAATTCTGTAGATGACTGTGCTGTCAAATGAATTATTTCTTTAAAGATACTCTATTGCAAGTAGAAATAGTTCGGTAACATTCTGACATCCCACCGCTGACCATCCTGATGATCTTTTCTTGAATATGTCATTCAATGTCCTCCAAAATTTTGGAAAATGCTGGCGACAAAAATCTAACAGCATTTTAAATTTAACACAGCTCTTAGGAGCACCACACGTTTAATTAAAAAAAAAAAAAAAAAAGTAGCTACAAGAAAGCAATCAACATGTATTTAACATAGGATCTTCCAGTAGTTGCAACTACAAGTTATTTTCATATCAGAAGATATAAAGCCATATCATTAACCCACACCAAAACCAGTGCCAAGACCTTAGCTCCCAGCAATATATTATTTTCCTTCCAATCCCTCAGTGCTCATGAACTACCCTGATAGTTTACTCCACATTCAATGTTAACCTGCTGAAAACCAAGGCAAGTATTCAATTTCCAGCAATTCAAACCTGGCTGCAGAAAACCAAGTGTGACCAGCAGGTCAAGGGAGGCGATTCTCCCCCTCTGCTCTCATGAGACCCCCCACCTTCAGTACTGTGACCAGCTCTAGGGCCCCCAACGCAAGAGGGATGTGGACCCTGTCGGAGTGAGTCCAGAGGGCTATGAAGATGCTCAGGGGGCTAGAGCACCTTCCCTATGAGAACAAGCTGAGAGAGTTGGGATTGTTCAGCCTGGGGAAAACTCAGGTGAGACCTCTAAGGTCCAGTTCCTAAAGGGGATCTACAAGAAATCTGGAGAGGGACTTTTGACAAGGACATATAGTAATAGGACAAGCAGGAAGGGATTAAGCTGAAAGAAGATTTAGAATGGATATAAGGAAGAAGTTCTATACTGCAAGGGTGGTGAGACACTGGAACAAGTTGCTCAGAGTTGTTGATGCCCACTCCTGGAAATGTTCAAGGCCAGGTTGGATGAGGCTTTCAGCAATCTCATCTACTGGAAGGTATCTCTGCCCATGGAGGGTGGGGCTTGGAACTAGATGATCTTTAAGGTCCCTTCCAACCCAAACCATTCTGTGATTCTGTGTATTTAGTTCTAGTAAAACACTTCAATTATCCTTAACATCATATTCTTTTTCTGCTCCACAATGCCCCTTTCTTCCTTGTGAACTTACTGATTCCCTGTTCATTCTGCACTTCCATGGCTTGAAGAATCCTGATAGTTTTTTAGAGGGTTTACTGCAATTCAGCTCTTCCAGCAATTCCACTTGACATTTACATTTTTTAAGGCAATCCCCTTTGTAGATCTGCGTTACCTGGTTTCTTAGTCTCTATATTCTTGAGAGAACCGTTTACCTTGGGTTTGAAACCCTTCTCAGTATTTCCCGCATACACACTTCACAAAAATACGTGAACTACTTTTGCTACCTCAAAGATCTCGCCCTGAACACGCAAGATATATTTCTCTTCACCCTCTATCCACTAGATTCTGAATTTTCGAATTCTTAAAGTTTTTATTTTTAAGGATGTATTTACAGATGTTGTGGCTACCCTGCAAATTCATCTTAACTCTTCTATAATGTCCCTGTAACATGCTTTGGCTTTACACCAAAGGCAAGTCTAAAATTGGTGCTAAAAGGCACAATTTGCTAATATATTTCCAGTCACATCCAAGAATAACTCATCATCCTTATTTCTTCCCAAAATCCATGCCTGAAAACCTGACATCTCCGACGGTGAAGCCCATTCTCATACAGCTAGAGTAATATTTAAAATAAATTAAATCTCTGCTGATATCCACTTCAGGGAAAGTATGCAAAGAAAAGGTCCAGCTACAGCCTTTATAATGGGAAATTTATTTAGACAACCTTAACTAGATCTCTCTCAGTTACACAGATGAGGTTTTTTCCTTAAGCTTTTTGTTAAATAACAGATTCCATGTAGCCAATTGTCTCATCACAAAAAAGCTGCTTAATACAGTTTAAGATGGATGAATCCTGCAGAAGTGACCTTCCAGTGACTGCACAAACTTCTCAGAAATATTTTCAGAAAGAATTCCTATAATTCAAGTAGGGACTGTTGGCTTTTAGCCACCACACTTAATGTTAACTGGGATTATGTTTTGACTAAGCAGAGCTGCCATCTTGTGCAAGGTACTCTTGAGACAGGGAACTCTACAGACAAAACGTCAGATTAACCTGCTCGAGGAACTGTGAATATCAGGCTTTAAACTGTCCGTGTGGAATTTATGAACACAGAAATCAGTTTCAATAAAGTCAGGGCAAATGGGACTATTAATTTATCTAGTCTGACTCCTCTACATGTTCAGAAATCACTTTTATGCCTATAATGAGCTAAATAACTTTTCTTAGCTAAAGCTTGTTTCCTACTCTATCACACCAGTCTTAAATTTTAAAACAAGAAGACGGAGAAACCCTTCTCTTCTCTTGCTTCAGTGCTAAGAAAACCCAAAATGAAACAAACCCAAAACAACAAACCAATGCTTAATCATCATCAATTTTCTAATCTGAACACAACTGGACTGGTTCCAAGTATGGTTCTGATACTTGCTAGGATTGAAGAAATTTCATTACCTATTATTGCTTTCTTGTGAGGAGTAATTCAATAATCAAGTTAACCCTCCAAAATAAAGTCAGTAACATAATGAAATTACCCACCAAATTTTCCATTCAAGTTTATGACTCTTCTCCAGTGTTTTGTTTTTTAAATACCTTCTATGAATATACAGGTATTATGTTCTCCCCTATCTCCCACAAAAACAATAAAACCCAATTACATTGTCTAAGGAAACTTTTTCTATAAAAATAACTATTAAAAAAATCAGGAAATTTCTGCTGTCTCATCTATATGCAAAGAAGAACGAACTCTATGAAGAAATTTAGTCTTTTCAGATGAAAATACCGTCAAGTGTCTTCCGATTCAATAGGAGTCAGTTTTTGTAGCTTGAAAAGAAACAGCTGACAAGCAATGGCAAATTAAATACATAAATTAAAATGTAAAAAAGCAGTCTTACCTGCCCCCTCATAACAGACATTTGGTTTTCAAAAGTAGCCTTGTCAAATCCTTTATCAGTCTTTAATAAAGAAAACAGTTATTATAGAGAATGACCCATTTATTTCTAGTTATATATTCAGTATGCAAATTCAGCAACTTAATATATGCATAGTCATGTTTACCGATACCATAATAAATTTTGGAAGCTTTAAATAGTCATAGTGTGAGACACAAAAACGTCTATTTACTGCAGCAAGTTTACGTATGTGGAAATGAAGGATATTCCCCATCATAAACCACACGAGCAGATACTACTTTAGGACATTGATAGGTATGCTTAATACCATCACATCATGTTATACTGCTCTGTCTCTCACCTCTACTGACAAAAGAATACTTCCTCCTTCAGATTTATTTAATAATCAACTTCCACTGGGTTTAACAGACCACCCAAAGTCACTCTGAATACAACTGAGTCAAAGATCAAACACTGGAAGCGTGTTTCAGGATATAGTTTTGACATTACAGCTGCATTTTCGTTAGAACTTTAAAATTTCCATTTCTTTCCATCCTGTTCATTCGGATTGTTTCACATGAACATCCGAAAGAACTGTTTACAGAATGTTTCACAGAAGGACACTTCTTTACATCTCAATATTGTAGCACAGTTTCAGTATCTTTAAGGTAAATTCGACTGACTTTAAACAGGGTCAAGATTTCAGCACCAACTTCACACAATACATCTATTTAAAATTAAGTCTATGAAAGGTATGCAGGTCCTCAAGTTAAATACGCGATTTCCTCAGGTTACTACAGTTTATCTTAAGTTATACATACCACACAGGTATGTTAAATGGAGTTTTTACACAAACCTGGGCTATAAAAGTTAACTAGCTTTAATTGATCATGTGAAACTTAGGTGTTTAAAAGGTAATTATGTTTTCAGATGAGCTACTATCAATTAGCCACATTAGTGACAGTTTCCTCTTTATCATGTATTCTCTTTCTAGTATGCCAGTGTTAAAGCTAGAAGAGAACACTATCATGACATACAAGTTAACTCATAAAAAGAAAAAGCATCTGTTCCATTAAAGATATTAGCTATTGCAGTGATGCTTAACTCAAAGCAGCACTCAATTCACCTTAAATAGTTCATAAAGATCTTCACAAAGATCCTGTACGAAGTTCATATCAGAAATGCGAGGAAGAACTAGGTCTCTGGTCTCCTGAGAGAAAGGAACTTTTGCTTGAGAAAGCCAAGCCCAGTGAAAGGGATCTAATGCAGAAAAACAGTACACAATGATTAACAGGCAAAAATACATTCTCAAGTGCTTATCACTGACACAGCACTCTGCTGCCTACTGAAGTTGTCGGTAACACACCATTTTTCTCAGCATTGTTACCCCATATACCTCTTTTGGCTGCAGTTACAAAAGCAGCTTTACAGCTACTAAGCCTTTTTTCCAAACAGTGCAAACATATTTTAAGTAACAGATATTTAGTTGAAGCAGTAAAATATGTATAAAATTAAATACTGCACTGTATATAAAATAAATAAGCTCCAGTAGGAGCCTTCTCCTAGTTTAGTAATGCAGCTTCCTTTGGAGTAAAATAATGGGTGCAATCAAATAGAAATCTTTCAGATGTTTGACTCCTGAAGAATTAACAAAAAAGTAGCTACTAGTTTTCAAACACATTTTTTTAGTTTATTTAAATGCCTACTTGTAAGCATGCTGAGAAAAACATTCTTAACTTCTCCCATAATTGCTATTAAACAGCTTTTTCAAGAGATGCTAAACAAGACATGAAACAGTACCAGTTGCAGGAACTAAGGAACATCACCAGTAGCAGGCCACCCACTGAAACTTCCTAACACTGCTCACAGCCCTTTGCACCTGACAGTCCAGACAGTTTTCCACCCAGCTCACAGTCTGTTTGTCCAGCTCATCTCTCACATTTCACGACGACACTATGAGAGACTACACAGGTGGCCTCACAAAAGTCAACGAAAATCAGTATACACTGCCTTCCCTCATCCACTAGGCCAGTCAGCATTAAAAACTGTCTAGTCAGTTAAGCACAGTTTGTCCTTGCTGGCTTCCCAATCACCATTTTGTTCGTGTGCTTGAACGTGGCTTCCAGGAGGATCCATTCCACAATCTTCATGAGGACTGATGTTAGGCTGGCTACCTGTGATTCCTTGTACTCTGCATCTTGCCCTTCTTGAAGATGCGTGTGATACATTTTTGTAGTCATCAGCATCCTCCCACATTAACTACACTCTTCCCAGGTGCCGAGAGAACAGCCTCACATCAACCGGCTCCCATGGTATTTTCAATGCACCCCATCTACTCCTATGAACTTCTGCATGTTTCTTTTGCTTACGTGCTTCCATTCTTCTGCTTTGGGTAATTATCATTCCCAGAGGCTCTGCTTATGAGCTCTGAGACCCAAGAGCTAAAGAGCAAATCTTACAACTGAGAACTGAGGCAAAGTCAGAAGTAAGTAACTTGTTCTTTCTTACGCCTTTTGCCTTTAAGTCTTCACTGCACCTCAGTCCCACTCTCACTTCTAATTTACTTAACCCTTCTGTGCTGTCCATTATGTCCTCTGCTAGCTTTATACAGCTGAGCTCTGCCTTTCCAAACGTCATCCTTGCACTACAACAACCCAAGTTACAAACAAAAAAACCACAAAAAACAACAAAACTTATTTGGAAGTTACTTTCCCAAAAGGAAGATGATTGAAGAATGCAATACTTACATGCCCTCCACTCATCAGGATGCTTAAAAGGAAATGCTAAACCATTGTCAATTGCAGCAATTTTAATGGTAGATTCCTTAGTTACAGTCCACTGGTTATCCTATAGAAGGAATATTTCAAGAACAAGTGATATCTATGTGCTTATGAAAATGGTGACATACATTAAAAATACTAAGTAATATACTTGATAGCTTCACACTTAAAGTCAACTTAAACAACATAAAGGAGTACCCAAATCAACTCCAGCATGTGTAATTCTTACTCTACCACCATTGAAGAGCAGCTCTTCCCCCAAATACAACATAAGAGCAGCATATAAATAGCTGAAGAAGTGTGCTTGAGCAACAGTGGGCAGTTTCATTATTATTATAGCCCATGCTGATGAAGAAAATAAAGAGAACAATAAAAATACTTTCTAGCACTCTTCTATCCAGACTAGTCTAATCCAAATACCTTTTCCATTCATTTCACCTAGAATAATTTGCAGTTATAATTCTTGAGACCATGCACCAGAATTAAAGCCATGCACTTAAACCCCCTGCAAGACCAAGCTATAACACTAAACAATTTAAGGAATATAACTTTCAGAGTACAATTTTCTTACCTTATCTGACAGATCAAGTCCATCATGTTGTTTTTCATACCTGACTAACCAGTTATCGTTACCTCTGTCTTTAAACAGGAAAATGCATGTCACAATATGTCATCTATAAAGAAATCGACATCTAAAGTGATATATAATGACTAATATTGTAAATTTACTGAGAATTTATCAAAAGAGTCAGGTAAAACTGTTCAAAGAGTTTTCTCCATCACAATTATGTTTTAGCTTTACAGAAATGTATGAGGCAACTGAATTACTGGAAAGGCCAAAAAAATCTACCAAGTGTTCTTAGGTATGTACTACTGCTTTAATTTCCGCAGCTGGCTGAATACACAACAAAATACCAGGTAAGCTAAGAGAAACTATTTTCATCCATTTTATGGAGAAAGATTGGCTATAGTGCGTACTTCTCCTGGGGAAAAGACTATCAGCAGCAGTACCACGATGACTTAACTTTAAAGCTTGTTTTAATGCTGACAGGGAAAAGAAGAAGCCCTGAAAAATCATATACTGTATGACATTTGACTACATGGAAAAAAAAGACTCTTCAAAGACTGGAAGCGGGGGAAAGGAAGGGAATGAAGAGCCTTTCAGAAGATAAAAGCATCTGCACCATTTACACAAAAATCAAGACACTGGAAGCTTTAATGTCTTTCAGCTAGAACATGACTACATGGATTTGTAGGTCATCTTGAGGTGCTCCTCTAACTTTAGTTTAACATCCATCAGAAGTTTTTCACGTTCTATCATTACTAAATATAGTAGATGAAGGTAAAGCCATCCACATAGTGATGTTCTGCATTTTGAGTATTTTCCTTACAATTTTAAGAACATTACAGGACACAGTAATCATCTGGAAACATTGGGATCTATCTGATAAAGCCGAGAAATCACAACTGCAGCTAGAAAGTATTACGTACTTAAGGAACTTTAGTTTGTTTCTAAAAAGCCACAGGTTAAGTGACTTATTTTCAGCCGGATTCCTTTCTAATAAGCGAATTTAAGAAAAATTAACTCCAGCCAATATATCTGAAGAAGAGTAAAGACGCCCACCTCAGACAAAGCAGCAAAGAGAGTATATTTTAAATATAAATCTGCCTTTGGATTCTTGAGGGAAATAAACACCTACATAGGCAACAGAAGAATCCTAGCTTCTGAGTGGAAGAAACAAGAATGCAGGAGAAATAAGATTCACACATCGCAGTTGTACTTCAATGCCTAGTCACAATGAATATTAACTATTTTGTACTGATGCAAAACTGTGCTGTTCTCAACTCCAGCTTAGCATAAAAAGAATGGTAGTCATGGCTTTTCCTATGATTCCTGAAACCTCACCATCACTTACCCTAATTGCGGGAAACAGTTAACAGCCTACTTACAGAATTGAAGCATAATGGAAGTATTTGTTCTTGAATTCTTCCATTACTTAAAAATATCAAGTAACAGTCAAAAAGGATTGTTTGGACTTTGCAATATTTAATGTTCGAATCTGAAGTAATTTTTTTAAAGTTTAAAATGCAACATTCTGGCCCTCAATTGTGAGAAAAGCACCTGAAATGCAATAGAAGCCTTCAGCAGCAGCTTGCGGCCAGCATTGCTTATCATTCCTGCCTCACAGAAGTAGATAGATATCAACAAATACCTGTATTCCTGATGACATAATCCAAGATAACCAATCTTTCAAACTGTGACTGAAATTCCTTCCTTGTATTCTCAGGTAAAGGATCAGTTTCAAACTTTCTGAGCCAGTAGTCAGCTTCCTTATATCCTTCAACAAACAGCTGGAAGGAGCCAACCTGAAACATTTAGTAACTGCATTTGGAAAATGCACTTGGCTAGGTCACATAACGAAACAGAAAAACTGATTATGTACTTTCAAAGTACACAGGAAATACGACATTAAAAAAAAATAAATAAAAAGATTACAAAGTTGTTTCTCTTTCATTCCTAAATTCTAAAAAAAGGAAGGGTGAAATCATGAGGGTTTTTTCTGTTTGGTGTGGGGGTGGTGCAAGGTCTTTGTGGTTGTTTGGCGTTTTTTTAATATTTGCTTAAGCACTTGCTGAGTTTACCAGAAATAAAATGTAGCCAGGCAGCTCAGCATAAGCGAACACTCACCATTATGAGCAATATTTGAAACAGAGAAAAAGAAGAATCATAGAATGGTTTGGGTTGGAAAGGACCTTAAGATCATCTAGTTCCAACCCCCCTGCCATGCCAAGGACACCTCACACTAGACCATGTCACCCAAGGCTCTGTCCAACCTGGCCTTGAACACTGCCAGGGATGGAGCATTCACAACTTCCTTGGGCAACCCATTCCAGTGTCTCACCATCCTCACAGTAAAGAACTTCCTTATACTTAACCTGAACTTCCCCTGTTTAAGTTTAAACCCATTACCCCTTAACTACCACTACAGTCCCTGATGAAGAACCCCTCTCCAGCATCCTTGTAGGCCCCCTTCAGATATAGGAAGGCTGCTGTGAGGTTTCCACGCAGCCTTCTATTTTTTTTCCCCCCCCATCAGTTCAATAGTCCATAGGAATCTCACCAAAAATTACAGGAGAGAAAAAAAAAAACAAAAACAAAACACACAAAAACTTCCTCTCTGAAAAGTTCCTATGTTTCCTTGATGAGAAAAGCAGCATTAACCATTTTTTCAAGACAAACTCTTTCTGCATGAAAATGGCTGAAATACATTTCTCAAAAGCGTCCAAGGAAGAAAACTACATACTGCATCAGCTCCATACGTATGGGCAACAGGAAAGGTCCTCAGGATTAAAATCCAGACAAAGACTTATATTCGAGAAGTAAAATGCACACATGCAGACACATGAATGACACATACAGACACATGAATAAACACAGAGCATGTGGAACAGCCACGCTGATACAAGCTTGCATAACGTATGTCACATGGATCAAAACTGCTGAGAACTGGCACAGTGGATTACCCAAGCTGTATATAATCTGTGTTTTTTAAGTTTAGGGAGAACATCATTGTGGTGGTATTTGGGGGATAAAATAAGGCTCATTAGTCAATAAAGATGTGGGGTTTTAGTCACTGGAGTACTGCACACAAGATGAAAGCAAGGTAAGATGAACGTAACAATAGTACACCTAAAACAATAGAACAAATAGAAAGAAAAAAAAAAAACACCAGTATTTAGGAAAAATTACATAACTAGGCAAATTGCAGGGGAGAAAATCAGACAATCTAAAAAATGATACTGAAGAGAAATGAACTTAACAGTCAAGAAAAAGAAAAGGAAAAGACCAAAATAGTGAGAGATGTACAACACTTTAACATATTACTCCCCCAGCAGAAAGCTACACTGCAAACTGGAACAAGAAGTGGCGAGATTATTAAAGTAGTTCAAATGAAGGAACAATGAGTGGATAAACAGTCATATTTATCAAGCTTCAGTCATCCACAGACAGTTTTCAACACGCAACAAGGTTTTTCTTCCACTACTGAAGTTACCTGTAAGTATTTTTTTTTTTTTTTTAATCCAAAGGTTTGTATAAGAATCAGCAAATGCACAAATTACTTTTTCCATCTTACCTTAGGAGGTAGTCCAATTCGATTAAATTTTTTAGCAACTTTTGGCACTTTCTCTAAAGCGTATTTTTTTCCTCTTGACTTTGCACGATCTATTGCACTGTAATTAAAGGTCTCGCTGACAAGCCAGACAACCTTAAAATATGAAAGTTAAAAACACAGCTCAGAATTCCTCATTATCTCAATCATAAATTTACAATTAAATTAGTTGTCAACAAAGCAAAAAGGAAGCATCAGGCATTTCCAACAGACAAATTCTATGTAAAGTAGCAAATATTCACCTTTTCACATATCCCAAAAGAAAAATGGGAATCCTTATATGCCAACTTTTGCAATTTTGCATCATGCCAATTTTTGCAATTTTGTATCTTGCCAAAACACAAGGAAATGAAAATATCAGAAAATGGTAGAAACTGAAGTGGTTCCAAAGAAGAAATTCAATTAAGATCTAAAACTTATCCTTTAAACCAAAAATCACAGTCACTATATCTACACCAAACAACTATGCCTTTGGATTTAGAACAGTTTATAAACTAATTGGGGACAATGATATACAAGGATGTCACCACAAGTACAGTCCAGAGACTGACAAATCTGCCACTATTATTTTGCATTTAATAATTTATGTATTTTCACTTTTACCTTGGTTTTAGGTACAACTCCTAGTCCTAGCTTGTCATCCACAAGATAGGCACCGGCTTCAGAGAGGTATCCCTGATTTGGAATGAGGCAGCCTCTGCCAAAGCAGCAAGGACAACAAACTTTGTGAAAATATTTGGTCCATTTCGGATTTAGATGTCCGTAAGGCTCTTCAGATTTTGGTTTGAACACTCCAATAATTTTCTAGGATAAATAATAAAAATTAAAGCATGAATACTTTGAGTTGCAAAAGATCAAAATTATTTTGAAATTTAGTTATTTGAAAGTATTGGTTAGATACTACACATTGTATTTTACAGTTGATCTTTTTAGACAATGAAATAATAAAACAAAATGGTACTCCAGATAAATTTATTGTAGAATGCTTGTCTAGAAGAAATTCAAAATAAGCTATTCAGAGCAGAAAAATCAAACCCAGCTAACATCTGCTAGTTTTTCAAAATTAATGAGGACTGCATTTTTGAATAACTTGGTTTCTATTCCAAGTTTTTTAAAAAGGAGGTTTTAAAAGTAGCTTTAAAAATAATTTTCATCCCACCAAGATACTTCAGACAAGAGACATAATGGTTCCAGGAAAGTGATAAATACACAGAATGCTAATAACCCAATGTTACCTTTTTTCTATTTATGGCTTTAAGTTTGAATGGATCAAAATGCATCAAAATGCAAGAGCGCATTTTGCAATTCCAAAAAGTGGAGTAGTTTACCACTGCTGCAGAATCCACAACTGAGAGCTGACAATGATTCACACTGTCAGCCACCATTTACATTGGAGACATGTAGCAAAGCTTGAAAGCACTCAGAGTACTGTGTTCAGTTTTGGGTGCTATGCTTCAAGAAATCTGTTAATGAACTGGAGAAAGCTGAAAAAACAATGAGAATAAACAAAAAAAACCAACCAAACAAACAAAAGGCAAATAATGACGGACTGTATGAACAGGGATTGTGTAGCCTAAGAGAAAATGGGGCACAAGGAACTTCGTAATCGGTTTCTACAGAGAAAAAAGGAATGGCACAGTTATCATTAATGAGCCAAGAAATGATAGGCTTGAATCACAGCAGATGAATTACAAAGACCAGAACAGACTGCCAGGTTCTAGAGTCTCCAAAACAGGATGCCAATAACAAAAGGTTAGACAGACATTCATCAGGAATCATGCTAAAACAATCCTGCTCCTCATCAGAGGCACTAAATAGATGATTTCTCAATGTGCCTTTCTTACACGTGATTCTGTATTTGTTTACCTCAAACCACAGATTATTACCACAATGAAGTATATAACTTTGCCTTGTCTGTAATAAACTTTAGCCTACTGCATACAGTCCATGTAATGACTCTTCTATAGCTCAAGTGAAATGCTGTATTTTCATTCCTTCTCACAGAACCATGGCAAATAAATAAATTTCTAATAAATATCTAAAAACAACTATTTAAGAAGCATTTTCACACATTAGTCCTTTCCTGAATCCTTACCAAAAAAGGGAGTATCTCAATAAGCTAAACACTGCCTGTTGTGCACCCACACTCATACCTGATTTACACTCAAGTCATGAGCAATTTTGCTGGCAGTCAGAAACTAGCATTCAGCTTCAGCAGCTGCCAATTCAACCAGATTAGGGAGAGGACCCAAGCAGGTGACCTTCAAGCTTCTAGAGTATTTTCACCCACTGTGTCCGAGACAATCCAACTAGTCCAAGATTGTCCAAGAGAAACTAAATACAGAGAACTACTTCATTTAGTTTGTAAACAGATTACACAAGACACCAGGCGCTAGCAGCATCACCTGTCTTGTCCATCTCTTCTGATTCATTCCCATGAACTACCAGGAAAATAAGTTACAAAATATCACTATTTGCATTCATTCTAGAAAATAAGTTTCCTATCAGCAGGAGAAAGAAGCAAATTGACAAAAATTCTCGGTTTAGGTATGCTGTTAGCTGTGATGCTAAGGTTACATTCAAAGTGATGAGCAAGTTCTATGCAACTGCAGAGACACAATTCAATTTAGACCTACACAAAAAGTACAATAAATACTCTATGCAATGTGAAAGCCAGGATATTGTCTCACCCTTTTTTTTTTTCTTTGAATCCCACCTCTTTGGAAACTGAATTTACTTGGTATATTGGTTAAGTCAAAATTCTAACCTTAGGTTTAGAGTTGTTAAAAAGTTAATGATTTTTTTTCCTATTGAATCATAGGTATCTGTCTGCTCAAAACAAATCCAGCAGCTTTTCATTTCCCAGAAATGTCGTGGTGGATTATTACTGTATTTTACTATCACTGTATTATTAATGCCAAGCCATTAACTGTCTCTTTTCTGAATCACTCTTTGGATAATACTTCCTACAAACTGTCCATTTTAAGAAGGAGCTTAGCTGTACTGTACTATTGAATCTAGATATGGTTTTTAAGTTTTCACTGAAGTTAGAACCTTGCTAAATTTTGCAGCACCACTGCTGTTGAGGACCAAAGTAGAACTAGAAAGCTCATTATGTAGACAAGGCCAGTCTTAATTTTGCAGGACTCCATTAGCATTACCAATCAGCCAATAGCTAAGCTGTCAAAAACATGTTGCAGAACACTTTTTAACAGACACAATGTCTTTTACTTTTCTGGTTACATAATGAAGAGAAAACGCAGAACTATCCAATACTTCAGCAATAGTGCTGCTTAAATACTGAAGTGCTTCATATCAGCATACAACTATGCCAATAAGCACAAAAAAGTTAATTTTTATTAGGCAATTTTAATCATTCTGATAGACCCAAATCAGCAAATTAGATGAGCTAGCAGTACCAGGTTATTTTACCTATAACTTGGTATAAGTGTGGGTAAACACTTCACAAGCTGACCAGTAAGAAGGTTTAGTATGCCTTTAATAATCTCCTCCTCCTTACGCTGGGGAAGAGCTTACACAAGAAGTTCAGGAGAAAGCAAGTCACAAAACTGGTCTGAAGTAGAATGATGCAATACTCTGTCACACAGGATGTGAAATCCATTCTACAAATGGGAGCTGTACTATTGACAATATAAGTTTTATCAGACCTTTAATGTGGAAAACTAATTTAGATAAGCTCTAAATTTAGTGCACAGAATAAAAGCAAAATTTGGAGTCAGCTAGGAACTCAGTATCATTATTCTCAGTCCCATGTTGACAAACACTTTCATTTATTTTGCAATGATTTTTTCCTCGAACCCACAAAAAAAAAAAAGTTTTTTTAAATCTTACTTTCTACTAAATACTTGAATTCAAATCAATGACCCGCATAAAAGGGGAGTGCAAGTCACTTAGAAACTTGAACAAAACCACCACCTCACGCAAAACAAAAGTAAAACCAACAAAAAAAAATCACCACATAAGAAACAAGGAAATAAGGTGTTCCACCCGAAATACTGTAGTTACAAAAATAGTGTGTAAGTAATTTCTCATTAGCCCCAGGGTACAGTGAGTCTCTCAGGCATTTGCTGGTCACCAAATAAACCTGCAAAATCAGTCTGGACAGGCTTAGACAAAAAACAGATTTGCGCATACTGAAATAAAGAACAAGTATGTTTTTTTCTTAGTAATCTCTCTACTAACTGTCTAAGAACGAAAGACCTTGCTTGCACAGCATTAAGAAAAGCTCCCCCAAAAAGCACACTTAACTAGTTTTAAAGTGTTTTAGCATAATGTCATAGAATACTCTTTGGACATATCCTGCCTTGGATTTTTGAAAAAGTATTGATTTAAACCAGTATTTTGTTACTTACTCAGATCTCTTCCTACTGCATATTAAATAAGGTATCATCCTAATTTAAAGTACATCTTTAAAAACAGTAGGAAGTTTGAATATGTATATATAAGCATAAAACCTGAAAACCTACAAAGAGCTAAACTGCTGAAGTAGGGAAGTGACCTGAAGTTTAAGTCTGCAGAAACTTCAAACGGGTTTTCACATTAACAGCATTAGGTGTGACAGCAGGAA